GAGCTCTGAGCAACGCGGTTCGATGCCCAGCCTGAGCTGAACTGCTGCTGAGCTGCCAACATGTGTCAGGATGGCTCAGCTAAAAAAAAAAAAAAATTTAAATCGATGTGATAAACTATCCCACTGTACATGTTCTGCAACCGCTTTTGTTTGCTCCACATGCGCATACAGATGACATATGTTCTTGTGGGATTTTAATGTATTCACTTCTGTGTTATAATATTCATACAAAAATATAGCGTATTCATACATTACGCTACAAAGTAATTTATCCCCTCTGTTATTTTGGGGCATCGAGGCTGATTCCAGCTTTCGCTGCTAAGAACAGTTGCAGTGACCCTGGGCACATGTCTCCTTGAGTCCATGTCTCTCAGTGTGGGGTTCCAGGGTCCCCCATGGCTCCCAGCTTCACATTAACTGAGTGCTTCCTGGATATTTGCAACTTTGTTCCAAATTTCCACCCTTATAAATAAGAGAATCGGTGACATATACTTTTGTGCACTTTTTGATGGTTTTCTTAATTTGTTTACACCTTTTTTCCCTTACCTCCTAACTCCTTCCCAACTGTAGAGCTAACTTATTCTTTTTATTAGCTGATACTATCCCATGTCACAGTCTTACCACAAGTGACGTGACCCTCCCTCTAGATGGGAAGTTGGGTTATTTTGAGGTTTTATTTGGCTGCTACAAACAACTTCTCAGTAGACATTCTTGTTCGTTTCTCCTTGTCTACTGGGACTATTGGTCCCCAGAGTTAGATTATTAAGTCGAAGGTTAAATATACTTTTAAATGTCTATAAAATTGTTTTCTAGGAAGGCTATAGAAATTTTCTTTTCCCACTCAGTCTCATTTGGTATTACAGTTTCTTTTTCTTTTTTTTTTCTTTTTTTATTGTTTTACTCTTTGATTTTGTAGCAACCTACTGGCCCAGGGGAGGCTCGTCTGCCGTATTGCCTGTTCAAATTCTCTCCCTTTGGAACTGCCTGTTTATCTTCTTTACCCAGTTTTCCATTGGGCTTTTTCATCACCAGTTTGAAGGAGCCCTTTCTCCTGTTGAGAAGACTCACTCTATCTGTTTGGGCAAACACTGTGTTGTCCTCCGTGACAGCTCTCCTCCACCCCGCCATGCAGGAACCTTTCTTCCGTGGTAACAGAACACTGAATTTCTCAGATACAGGAGGTGACATGCTCAGGCCCAGGAAAGATTGTGTTTCGGTCTGTAACCCATTCATGGAAATCTCAGTCCGATTTTCCAGTAACTGGTATGGAGGTGGCCTTATGTCCTAATACGTCCAATGAGAAATAAGCCCAAGTTTATGCGAGTGGAGGCCTTCTGTGAAAGATACGCTGTGTCCAGAAAAACTGATGAAGATAAAGATGACTTAGCCCATTTTGGGGGTGGGGTAGCCCATTGTTTGCAGGTGAAATCATCCTAACTGATACATCAGTTACACTTACTGTCAATATTTCCCCAGTTATCAGTGAATTTTGATTTTTCTTCGTCTTTTGTTATGAAAAAAATGGTTTTCCTTTTGTATTTTTAAATAGGGATATGTTTTTCTTTAACGATGTTAAATTTCCTATATTAAATAAATGGTTTCTCTAATCCTTAGGTTATAGAATGGTCACTCGTTTGTTTTTTTGTTTTTTGGGGGTGTTTTTCTTGTTTATGTTTTTCTTTTATTCTTTTTCTTTGTTTTGTTTTTCTTTTAAATGATGGCTGTTGTTTTTTGTGTCATGGGCACACTTTTTCCTGAGCCTTCATCATCTGAGTGTTGCACGTATTCTAAGAGCAGAAATTGGGGCAGTTAAACAGCAGTTCCCCAAAGTGAGTTTTTCCATCACAGGTGGTCTGTTGCAGCACTGCTCAGCCTCCTAGCTTTTCCTGGAGCCTGCTAAGCTTCCATCCTGTTCATGTGTACTTTCAGCTTTATTAACACGGGCGACTTACCCAACGAAGGATTTCAGCAAAACCAGTGGCTTTCCTTTGCCCTGACTCCTGGAGGCTGATGAAAATGGACCCTGATCCATTATGTATCTACCACATGGATTTCTTGGAAACTCAGGCAGGGGTGTGTCAGGTTTATAATGGCTGCTAAGATGAATGAGTGCACGTTCTCATCTGCATACATAATTTATGCTAATGGCATTCATTTTCCATGTGTGCCTGTGAAAACAAGCAGGATGCTTGTGTTACTGGCGTGGATACAATCAGGTCATCACACACATGGCATGTTCCTCTCATGCAGTTTCAGATTTGTAACTACAACAAGGAGCTGCGTAATAATGACTACACGTGCATGCTACGTTGCAAAGATAATTGCTTTTACGTTCTGTCTGCTGTTTTGCTAGCATTGCCTTCCTAATATGTGGATTTCCATGACCAGGTGACTTCCGAAGGAGTATTCAAAGTCACCATTTACAGGTAACTGTGAGCTCCCACTTCAGTGTAGTCAGGAGACCATAGAATGTTTTCTGTACCAGCGCTTCTCAAACTCTGCATGGAAAAAAACAAGCGTTTTTTTCCCCCCAGTCCCACTGACCAATCCATTTGGAAAATATAACAAAAAGTGAATTATTATGAAAATGAAATTTAAAAATACAAAATATTGTGTTTAAAAAAATTGTTTTTTAGATTAAACAGACGTGGAATTACTCTGTCAGATTGCTTTAAAAGTTCTAAGGCTTACTCTCAATTCCTGTATTTATCTCACTGCAGACTAGGGACAGATAGTTCAGGAGGGGCTGTTATTCACAGATCTCCTTCTGTGTAGCACTGCCCAAGATAACGACTGATAAAGGTACACATGCAACTTTCAAGTTTCTACTTCGTTGGGAGATGCTTACAAAGTTAATAAAAGCATACCTGTGCTTGTCTGAACCGCACAGATGTGGGGGAGGTGATATTGTGCCCTCGATTCTGTTTCTGAAGAGCTGGCATAGGCCAGAGAGCCCGTGCTCACCGATCTGCTCTAAACAACCCTGGGTGAGCCATCGGAAGATGCGAATAAGCATCTTTAAGACTCCGTTAAAGAACTGGATTTGAGGGGAAAGTTTTATGAGGATGGGGTGCTCTCAGAGGGCCGGAAGGCTCTCTCTGAGACCTGCCTGCATCCCTCCTCACTTCCATCGCCTGGTCCACACCAGCGCCATCATGTTCTCATCTGAACTCAGGCCAAGTGTGTCTACCATCCTGCTCTGCTTCCCTTCAGGTGCATCCCTCGCTTACACCCCTGCTGTGGCTTCCCATCACCACCAGGATGATTTAAGTCAGCCAACCATGTCATAAATGACCTTCTCCCCGTCTGTCTCCCCAACATCTTTGTCACTCTGTCAAACTCCCAGAAAACACGTGCGTGTGGTGTGCATGTCCATGCCTGGACTGTCTTCGTCATTCCCGTGTTCTGCTCTTAAATGTGCTCAGCCTTCGATCCAGGCCCAGGCTTCCTCCTGGGTCGCTTACCCACCGCTGGCCATCTCTCTTTAGCTCTCCCGGCCCCCTGCCACCTGACCCGTCCAGGGGGAGGCTAGGGGCCTGGGGAGACCCCAGAAGCAGCCCTTCCTTTGGGGCAGATTTCATTCATTTTGGCATGTGTTTTGTGCTGTACCTGACACAGCTGGACCTCTTTCTTGGTGCAAGAATAGCCCCACTTTGTTTAGGACTATTTCACCAGCTGTGAAACTTTGCACAGAGTCTCCTTGAAAACTGTTCTCCAGCCTCATTCCTATGGCTTTGGCTGGTTCTGTGATATTAGTGCAGGCACAGTCCTGGGACCCATCCCCCAGTAGCAAGTGTAAAGGGATGATAGCTTACATGTAAAAGACAAAGCTTCGTCAAATTTAAGAATTATAAAGGGGCAAAAATGGTGAAGCCTTTTACTGGAGGGCATGAAAGATTTAGGAGAAAAAGGAAAGATTTTGATATGGGAATAGAAAGACATTTCATACTCATATGTGGGGACAGTCAGTATCTTTAATCAATTCCTGTTCTTCTTTTGATTAATCGATCAGTTTATTGCAACTCCAGTCATATTCCCAGGTAGTATTTTGGGAAAGGTGGGAACAGGAGAGAATGTAGGGCAGTTGGATACAAAAGTTTTGTTGTTTTTTTTCTTTAAACAAAAGAACTGTAGTATTTTAACAAGGCAACTAAAAGATTATAGAAATTTAAAACTAAAGGAATCAAGAAAACTGTTACAAGCTTTCATCTGCGAATAGGGCACACAGTAACAGCCACAAACACAGTCCTCTTTGGCATCATTTAAACATGTTTAGATGTTATTGCTGAAGTATTTTTACAACAGTAAGAGAAATTGCTTCAGGAAATGTAACCCTGAAAAGAGAATAAAAATAGCCATATCTAGGTTAGGTGATCCTTTCATTTTCAGCACAAAAAGCACAGAACAGTGAAAGAATCTTGCTGGCCTTTTTATCTTGATTCTCCCTCATGTTGATTCAAGCATCTCTCAGAGTTATTTCAAGAACTGTTTTCATGCATTCACCGATTTGTTTCTTTTTTTTAAATCTTTTTCTGGAAGCAGAACCCAAGCTGTCGATGGCAGCCATGGAAATAAACAGATCTAAAAACCATCATTTTGAAGTCTTCTCTTTTAACTATTCTTACCTGGATGAAGCCGCCCTGATGACCTATCTGAGAGATCACCTGGGGAGCTTTTCAGAAACCCAGGTTCACCTGGGAGGTGTGCCCCAGTCCTGGCAGCAGCACCGCCTTGGGACCCAGATTCACAGATCTTTTCTAGGTCATAATAATAAGCCCTTCTGCCTGAATAGCTTTCACTTCTTCCCCAAATGTTATCTCATTTAATCCTTACCACAAGCTGTGCGGTGGGTCTTGCTGTCCCTGGTTTGCGAATGAGGAGATTAAGGTTCCAGTAAACGTGTAGATGTCAGACCCAAGTGACCTGAACCCAGGCAAAACCTAGATCTTGCTGAACCAGACCCTTTCTCTGTCCCCCAGTGACTTCAACTGTCCTTACAGAATTCCTGCAGAGGAGAGCGGCTGGGTCCCTCTTGTCATAGCCTGCGGAGCACAGGGCAGCGCCACCCCCCACACCTGTGTCCTGCCTCCTCTGATGACAGCGCTGGGCTCAGAGTGAGTATTGAGCTATTGGTGTGAGTGGAATTCTTCGTAGACGCCTAGGTTTCAGAGAGCAGGAGGAGAACGAATGGGGTGGTGGTGGCGCCTCACTGTGTGGTGTGGGTGGTGTTTACCTGTCCGCTCATTTTAAGATAGTTCAGTGAGTTACACATTTATGTGGTGTGTACCTTTCTCAAATATGCTATACTCGTATTTCACAATAAATGCTTTTTTTTTAATTTCCTGGAGAAAAACAATCCATGAATTAGATTCACTCCAACTTCCTTAATCACCCCATATTGGTGACATTCCAGTTGCTTCCAGGTTTTCTTCATTCTTAACAACATGGCAGGGAACACTTTTGTGCAAAAATCTTTTTCCGTACTTTCGATTATTAACTTGGGGTAGATTTATATGTGTGGAGCTACAGAGTAAAAGGAGTCAGAAGTTTAGCAACTGATTCAATGAGCCATCAACTAGAATTTTTCTCTTTTGTGTTACATACATTTCAACCAAAATGTCCCCATGCCCCATGGCCTTTCTGAATTCTGATTCTATCCGGGGATGTGTCAGCCACCCCCATCCCTCCACGGTGTTGCCATCTTTGTCCCAGACGTGTGCGGGGAGCTTGGTTCTGCCCCCTCGAAGTTAAGGGCACCATGTTGAGAGAGCTGATGAGGAAGGAGTGCCTGGGCCTGAGATTTGTCCCTAGCGACTGCCAGGCCACCTCTGCTCTGCAGTGCCGCCCCTGCTGTCAGATGACAATGTTTGTGACAGAATGAGCATGTACCAAATGTTGTATTCAGCCCAGTGAGTGAGGGGCCAGTAGGATGGGAAGACAGGCTCCCAGAACAGGTCAGGGGATAGAGGTTGATGGCAAGAGTCCAGAGAATACCGAGATGTGCTTGCTCGTCGATGCTGACCTGCACAGTGTCCCCACAGGGCGATTACAAAGCCTTTTTGGAATTACCTTTCTACCAGACAGAAACATCCAAGGGAGTCTGTAACCTCACAGTGTGTGGACTCTAAAGTGGAAACAAAACTAAACTTAGGTGTGTCTGGCTAGATACTAAGTAACCATTAGAGGAGGGATTGTGAAACACCCCACCACCACCACCCCCAGTATCCCACGGGGGTCATTAGGTATAGCTGAGGCCATGGGGGTGGAGCCCTCCTAATAAGATTAGTGCCCTAATTAGAGGAGGAAGAGAGGAGCTCAGTCTCCGTCTATACAGCAAGAAGATGGCTGTCTGCAAACGAGGAAGAGGCCCAAAGCTGCCAGCACCTTGACCTTGGACACCCAGCCTCCAGAACTGTGAGCATAATAACTATCTTGTTAAGTCACCCAGTCTGTGATATGACGTTACTGCAGACCGAGCTGACTAAAATAACCATGTACGTGTGTGTGTGTGTGTGTGTGTGTGTGTGTGTGTGTGTGTGTGTGGAGTGGGGGGTGAAATATGTCTTTTTACATGCGTTAAGTCTTAAGGTGGTTTGAGAATTGAATAGGGGAGTCAGCCTAACACAGTTAACCTCGACTTTCACTATCTTCTTCGCATTTATAGTCCCAAGCTCTTCCTTTAAACCCTCTCCCTGCTTCTCTAGGTTCCAAGACTAAGCCTTCTCTATGTAATCCCTCTCTATGTAAAAAAAAAAAATAATAATCTAGGAACTTGTCATAGAGAGTCTGTCAGAGCTGGAGGAGGCTGACTGTAGGAAGCGTCACATGCACTTTGCCTGTGACGGTCCTCCTGGTGGACTGAAGCGAGCCACGGGTGTGGGAGTGACCATGGACCACCAAGCATTAACCATTACAGCCTGCCAGAAAGAGCTAACCAAGTAAAAATAAGGTGACAGTTGTGCCAGCCATAAAGGGAAATACAAAGTGAAGAAACGCATGTTTAGTTTACCCACCAGTAAATAACCAAATGTGTGCCAGTTTGAACCACACACCATGATTGCCTTTTTTCACTTAACAAATCGTCCAAGATCAAAACAGCTGCCTGGTGTTTGGGAGACAAATGCTGGCTCACAAAACACTGGCTGGAAGGTCAGTTGGTGTGGCCTTCACAGTACAACTTGTGATTCAGTATCGAGTCTCTTTAAATTACGCACCTGTTGAATTAGCCACCCCGCCTTTCGGCATTTGTCCTGGTGGTAACTTACATTGTAGTCTAAGATTTTGCTCCTTTTTTCAGTTCTCCCCATTCCCACCTCATGTTTAATGATCAGCCGCCATGTCTGTCCTCTGCCCTTGTGCTCCCCTCCTCCTTTCCAGGGCTGTGCAGAGCCCCCGTTCTGGCCAGGTCTCCCCCGCAGCTGTGTTCCCGTGCCCTCCCCCCCGCCACACACACACACACACACACACACGTAAGCTCTGTCCCTGCGGTCCTCGCTGCCTGCTTGTCTGCCCCTGGACTGTGAGCCCATCACGGTGGGGACTGTGCGTTTTTCCTGCACATAGCCCCTCCTCCCAGCACAGGAGGCCCTCTCTCGAATAAAAGAACGAATAAATACCTTTGCACAATTCGTTGTACAGGTTGAAACCCCTTCTGAATGGCTGAGTGAAACGGGTTCAGTTAAGGAGGTGTGTTTCGCGTGGAAAGCCGTGACCTTCCGGCTGTTCCTCTAAGCTGGCTTTGAGGGGGCTTCCTGTTCATAATGATCTTGAGAGTGATTGCAGAACTGCATTTAGCCACAAGGTGGAGACTGAATCCCAGTCCCAGAAAACACTCCAGCTTCTGGAATTTCTGTACTTAAGAGTTTCAGAATGAAAGACCATAATGAACTTCTAGCTCTGCCTCTAGCCCCATTTATAAGATGGAAAAACTGAGTCCCAGAGAGGTCACAGAATCAGTTTTCAGCAGATAGGAGGGGGAGATTCTCCTGCTGACCTTGAAGAATAACCAGCTCTGATGTGAACCACCTGTGGACAGCCACATGGCAGGGGACCAGGCAGGGTCGGACTAGCTCTGGGGTTTACACTGGATTTGGAGGAACTCAAGTTCCTGGTTCCCTCTGACATGAAGGTGACAGCACCATTCAGTCTGTTTAGCAAGGTGGCTCACCTACTGGATATCCCCCGAGTGGGACGGGGTACCTGGCTGAGTAGGAGAGCCAGCATGCAGGGACCGGGGTGGGACCGTCGCTTTCCTCTCTGGCCTTGAAGGTAGCATTTCCGATGGGATCCCCTGAAAGCTGTCATTTCATCTCCAGGTATCTCACTCACCTGCCCACACCCGCTGAGCAAGGCCTGGGGTTGGATGATAATCGCAGGGACACATCTTTCCCAATCAGGGCTTGTAAAAGTGAAGGGGACAGCTCTAGCTCCAGTATTCTGAGGCCAGTCTCTCTGCGTCCAACATGGCGGGTGTTCTCTTGCTCCGGTCACTTATCATTGTCCCAGCACCTGGAAATGAAATAAGGTTGTGTGCAACACACACACACACACACACACACACACACACACACACACTTCGTCACTGGTACGGTACACTGGAGTCTTCTGTACCTACTTGCATCACCCTACCCCACAAGGCCAGACAATGTGACATCCATCATTCACTGCAGATCCAGGAGACAAAGGAGAGCGAGGGCTGAAAAGTCAGCGTGTGACCGTCAGAGGGTCCAGCAGTGGGCTTGGGGCTCATGCCTCACAGTCTCCACGTGTGAAAGGATAGTGGGGACAACCTGACTTCTGGTCCAAGGGATTGGAATCCTTGGGCTGTTTCAAAAGCTGTCACCTACCACGTTCCTGTGTGGTCTCCTGGCACTTACATCTCTGTGGTGACCCGCAGCCCTTCCTGGAGTACTCCTGTCCCCACGTGATGACCCTGCCATCCATCCGTTTGCCCAGCCCGGGCGGGAAGTTCTTTTTCTGTTCCTGTTGTGTCGAGGCTGAAAGCAATGGGAAACTCCTTTCCAGCTGCATTTTGTCTGGGTCGAGGTCAGAGAAAGTCATTGCTTTATCCTCCTCGTATTAAACATAAGACAGACGGAGGAGGAACTCACTCTTCATTCAACGCCTCCCTGGGGAGGAACTAATTTCTACAACCTGTAGAATCGAGGAGCAGCTCGGAGGTCACATCCTGAGGGACCATCACTCTGCTCCATACCGTCTGCCCACTTAGTTCCTTATGCAGATACATCTCTGACGGCCCGAGCAACCAGCCCTCCCAGTGTGTCAGGCTGTGACTGCTGTCTAAAGGGACCCAGCCCTGGCTGGAGACGAGGTCTCCTGTGACACAGAGATTAGGGGGCTGTATTGAAAGGTCGGCTGGGGCCTGTTTACCCAATGGAGTATTCACGGGGGAGTCAGAATTCTAATACAAATGCGTAGAATCTCTGTTTGAAAAGGAGCTTGGCTCATGTTTATCCCTGAGTTCCTTTACCGTGTCCTCAGGAGCTGCTGGGGTCACTGGGGTGGCAGAGCTGCAGGGGGCGGCCCGTGTTCTCCAGTTCTGAGCAGCCGACACTGAGGGCTGCCTTGGAGAGAGACTTGGCTAGACTTCCACCTATTAGCCTGCATCAGGGCTGGCAGACACCGTAATTGCATTTGCTTCATTTCCTGTACAATTTATAGGAAGATCGTGAAGGAGCAGGGAAGAGCAGAGGTCAGAATATGTGAGTCTAGCACTGAAAGGCTTAGGCTGGCCTTCGGGCTCCCAAGCAACCAGAAAGGGCCCCTTCAAGGACTTACAGAAAGGCGTGAGACGAGGCTGTAATCCTCTCGGGTGGCTGTCATTCCTTGAGCCAGTATCCTTCAGGAGGAGACGTTTAGTACGAAGCTGAGACGGCCCGTCTGCCGCATCCATGAAGACTCCATAACTACATTGTCAGTGTATGGTGCACGCTATCCAGGAGGTCTGGGGCCTGCAGGGACCACGGAGGGGTGCTGCTGAGCTCACAGACGTAAACAGCTCAGCGGGCTCTCAGGAAATGCTAGCTGCCGTTAGCACTTGTTACCCCGCATCAGTAGAGGAAGCATGTAGTTTGCATGAAGGAAATCACATAAAAGGAGATGACACCACTTGCAAAGGCAGCTTAGAGCTTTTTTCCCTGCATTGACATTACTTTGTTTTTTAAATAACCTTTAATTTTATAATAGTTTTAGATTTAAAAATAAATTGTGAAGATAGTACAGAAAGCCTCCCTCTACCCCACTCCCATTGCCCATTTCATTAATATCTTACATTAATGTGTACTTTCTTCACAATTCATGAACCAATATTGACACATTATTATTAATTAGAATCCGTACGTTATCTGCATTTTCTCCGTTTCCACCCAGTGTCTTTTCTGTGTTCAGGGACCGTACGTTCCGTTTTGTCCCCATGTCTTTATAGAACCCCCTTGGCTGTGACAGTTTCTCAGACTGGCCTTGTTTTGGTGACTGTGACAGTTGGGAGGGCACTGATCAGGTGTGTTGTAGGGTGTCCCTCAGTTGGTGTGTGTCTAGTGTTTTCTCATGGTTACACCGGGTTATGAATTTGGGGGACAAAGACCAGAGTGGTGTCATTGTCATCATGTGGCACCGCAGTGTTTACGAGTGGCCGGCATGCCCGCTCCCATCTGTGTGACCTTGACAGCTGGCCAAGCAGTGATCCTCGGGTCTGCCCTGTGACATCACTCTCCCTGTCCTCCTGGTCCCTCTCTCCTTGAAAGGCCGTTACTGCAGCCCACACTCAATGGGTGGCGGAGCTCTTTGAAGACGAAGTAACGCCGTACGGTATTTGGAATTCCGCTGCGTTGGGGATCTGTCTGTCCCACCCCAATTATTTATCTGTTCAACCCTTTATTTATAGCACTATGGACTCATGGATATTTAGTTTATACTCTGTGTTTTAATCCATTTCTACTCCGTCTGGTTGTTCAGATCATTCCAGCTGTGGCCACGGGAGCTGCCAAGGTTGACACTTCAGAGACGGGCAAGCAGCGGGCTGTCTTGTGGTTGTAGATGACGTCCGGGCAGCATGGTGGACCTAGACAGGCAGCGAGAAGAGAAGACGATGTTGTAATGTGGGAGGGTCATGCCAGGGGGCGAGGCAGCAGTGCGGAGGGCAGCTGGCTTGGGATGAGGTCCAGCTGCGTAGACGGAAGAGGCAGGTTTGGAGGTTCTGGGGGACGGATGTTGGAAATGCTTGAATAGCAGACTGACAGCTAGAAGTACAGGCTCCTTGTAATGAGAATGGGAGGAGGTCCCTGGAGTTTTCTCAGAAGAGATGCGATAGGACAAAACAGGTGACGGCCCAGAGCCGACCAGAGGCATGAGAACAGGTGGACAGAGGCTGGGTTCTCAGAAGCCCCCAATACCGG